TGGAGAATTTTAGAGACACTTTGGCTTCCTTTGGTCTCTCAATGCACTCGTGAAGGACGCTGAGTTCCAACCTTTATCGAACAGAGCGGTAGGTTGCATGTTGGCCCATGTTATAGCCCGTGGACATTAGGAATCTGCTCAGCATACACAACATTTGCATATGTTCACAAAGGTAAAATTCTGAAGGATTGAAATGGAATGAACCAGGGGACCGGACTTCCTTGCCTAATCCATTTTCCAAGGAAGAAGTTATCAAAGTACTGACACACAGCACGATAGGAATAGAGGATCCTTCATAAACCACTGAAGATGCCACACACATCATCACACACAGCTTATTGAAATTTTCAAGTAAGACTAACATAAAGTCCCGCTGAAACAGAAGTTATTATGGCTTTATCAGGTGATATGGCAGATATAAGATTTCAAACAATTTTATTGTCATTCGTAAAATAAGATGGCATCATCATCACAGCAAGAAATGAAGATGAGCATTCAAGAAGACTGGATCAAGTATTTCAACATTTGGAAGGTCTGGGACTCAGACTATCAAGAGACAAGTGTCAATTCCAAAAGGAATCTGTATAATATTTGGGCCACACCATCTCGAGTAGTGGAATTCAACCGCAACAAGAAAAGTTAGAAGCCATCGCCTATGCTCCAGAGCCAAGAGGTGTTAATCAATTAAGGTCGTTCATTGAAATGATAAACTTTTATAGAAGATTTTTGCCAAATATTTTTCAAATACTACAGCTGATATATAGCCTTCTGAGGAAAATCAAAGTTGGAAGTGGACCAAGAACTTCTCAGCTGTCTTTAAAAAGATCATGGAATATCTTTTAAGTGAACCTATACTCACACAGCTTAGAAGTCATGACAGATGATTCCAGTTAAGGTCTAGGTGCAGTATTGCTACAATCAAAGTCAGGTGATAAAAATAAACCGATAGCATTTGTTTCTAGAATGCTCTATTTCTAGGTTCCTCACATATTAACCGCGAAGTTCTTGCAATTATGTTTGCAATTAAAAAAGAAGTTTAATCTTTATTTAAGAAGAATATTTTTTTACCTTGTGGACTGATCATGAGCCACTGATCACCATCTTTGATCCACCGAGAGCTAAAAAAAATCTACTTCTATTACAGTAAGAATGCAATGTTGGATTCTCACCCTTATGGGATATAATTATCCATTGAAATACATAAACACAAGGTATAATATCCTAGCAGGTATTTTATCTAGGATGCCAGATTAGGGAGATGCAAGCTTGAGACAAAAATCTGCTTGTCTGAAATTGAACATTTTTCAAAATATTCCAGTAACATCGAAGGTGTCAGGATCAATACAAGAAAAGATCATATTTTATCAAAGGTGCTGAAAATGACTCGAAATGGATGGCCAAATAAGATGTATGAGGACGAGCTGAAATCATTTGCTCGAAGATCAGCAGAATTGACAATTGAAGAAGACTGCCTCCATTGGGCTCAGCGAGTCATTAAGCCCACTGTGTGTGGGCGTGCAGAAAGAAAATCTTAACTGCACACAGATCACATTGGAGCATCAAAGATGAAATCCCTAGCAAGACTATATTTGTTTTTGTTTTAATATTTTCAAAACAGAGACTGCATGTTTAGTGACCAGGGATGCTGAACTAGAATGCTTTAAAAATTTTGCAGGGCGTGTCAGGGGACTAAGGATAATCCGCGTTTAGCATTTCTGCATACCTGGGAATACCTAATAAGCCATGGCAGAGGATGCATGCAGATTTCATCAGACCATTTCATAATCAATGCTGTTAACCCTTATCAATGCTCACAGCAAATGGTCTGGGGTTATTTTAATGGAAAGGAAAACTTTAGAGGAAACTTCAGCGATATTTTTGATCGCTACAGTATACCAGAGAAGATGTTAAAATATAACGGTTCCGCAATTATAAACGTTTTCACATACCTACAGAACATTCAGCCACGAATTGTGCTGCAGATAACTTCGTGGGTGCCACTAAGAAGGTATTGAAAGAAAGCATGAAGGAAGGCCTTTCACTTCAAGAAGCTATTATAAAATTCTCAGGCATGTACCAATGTATTCCACATACAGGAAAAAACGTTCTCCATGTGAACTAATGTATGGAAGAATGTTAAGATCAAGATTGAATATTTTGAAACCACAGGAAGAAATAAAAATAAGAGAAGCACAGAATGCACAACAGTACTATGAAAGAAAAAGATTGAGTACATTTTTATTTGGAGACCATGTATGGACAATAAACTTCAGAAGGTGAAGAAATTAGACAAGAGCCATTGTTGCAGCGCAACTGGAAGGTCGCAGATTTGTTGTTAAGTCAATTGATGGATTCCAATGGAATAGAAACATTGATAAGATGTTGAAGACAGGTCCAAGATGGCCTGAAACAAAACTTAATTAGAATAGACTGTTTCTGACAGATATTGTTGCTACAGAACCGAAAATTATGCAACCGCCTGCATCTCAAGGAACTTTAAGACTGAGCAGACAACCTTCACATCAACAAGATTTACCTAGCAATAATAAGAACCAGGAATCCCCAGGTCCCACAAACAGTGAGGAGGATCATTTCTTGACTTTTCCTACCAGGCAAAGAAGAGAGACAAGGCAAGGGAGATTCCAGCCAGTGACCCATCTCCAAGTATCAAACCAAATATGGAATAATTATACACTGGCTCAAGACCTTGGACCTTTAAGGAACCATCAATGGATCCTTCCAAATGTAAGAGTATATTAATAAACAGATTATTATCCTAGATGTTGTTTTGTTCTGTTTGCTTTCATAAAATATATGCCATTATTACTTGTTTAGAAATATACCTATGTAATGCCTAGAAGGTATGTATTAAATAAATACATGTATTATATTCTAGTGGATTATCATTACTTAAGGCGTAAGAGGCTTCAATATATGCCTTAAATATGGGCAAATTGAACAAATGACAGCCAACAGCTCGAAACGCGTTTATTCGCGTTTTTAACCCTTTATTCCAACAGATGGCGCAAACCATCATCAACTTTTAGTTGCACGATCAGGAGATGCCTTTGTTCTTAATTTAATATGTTGAGTAAAACAGTGAAATATAATTATTAAACTATAAAATCTTAAATTGAACTTGTAAAACCTTCAAACATGCACAAAAATTACTTGACAAACCTACACCTACAAATACCATGAAACTACACAAAAAACCTTATTAAAGTAAGAAAATCTTTAAATAACTCAAAATATCCTTGTTTGAATTAAAAAAGTCCTTTAATAAAATAAAAGTACATATGATAATAATCATCTGCCCCCAAAAAGTTTACGCCTTTAATTTTAAAAATGGAAACAAAATTCTAAGCAATTTTTTGTTAACAATCAAAATAAAAATTTCCCCTAAACTATTTTACTTTACTTTTTATTAAAATAATGCACATATTTACTACAAATTAAAAAATATTGTGTTCATTTTTATCCGCTCTGGACTTAAAAAAAAAAAAAGAAGAAAAGAAAATGAGATAAAAAAAAAAAATCTGTGACAAAGAAAGTGGGCATTTAGAAACAAGAAAGTTTACATTCTCTCTTTTCAGTACGTTGACACCTGTTGGACGTTTAAAGCGGGTTTGTTTATGTCGTTTGATTTATTCAAAAACATAAACAAAGTTTTATCAGATTTATATTTTTTCTACTATATTCAATCTACTTTTAAGTACTTTTTCAACATCGGCAATTAACTTTCCCTTACTTCTTTTAACTCTCAACCTTACTCGGAAGTTTCTCAAAACTTCCAAATAACTTTTCTCCCCACATTTATAAAGATCTTCAAAAAGTAAGTGTTGCATAATTTATGCATATAACATTTTTACAGATTTTCTTGTAAACTCTTGTGCCACATAATATAGATTTGGTGCATGTGCGTGTGGCTAGTGAAGATGGGAAAGTATAAATGTGTAGTATTTTGAAACTATGTTAAAACACACTTTTGATAAGCTACATATTTCTTCTACGTTTGTTTCAATATCATTTTTCTATCACTATTAGTAACTTGCAGATGTTTGTATTTTAAACATATATATTGAAAGATATAAACAGTTCTTTTTTATCTCACCATTTTAGCACAGCAATTAAATTTAAATAGTATATAAGTTTTAAAAATATGAATATCAACACTTGTAAAAATTGAAATTTGAAAAATTTCATTACATTTTTCAGAGCTAGAAATGGAAAGAAACCCCTATGAATGAGATGTTTGCCTTCACATTGGCATTTTGTTCAATATATTTCAGCAAAACAGGATACAATACTTCTGGAACAAGAAAAACTGAAAACTCCTTGGTGTTGTGTGTGTGTTTGGAAATATTACAACAAAGAATCATTTTTAACTTGTATACAGATTCTTTGCTACCTGTGGCACAAATATACCAAATCAAGAAGTTTTTTTTGAAACATGTGGGAATTTAATTATTTTTTATCACAAACCAAAATAATTCCTCATGAAAGTCTGATATGTTTGAAAAATAGAATGAGACTTGGACAATACATTCCTAGAAAACCAGATTCATTTTCACCTATTGTAGGAGTCAGCCACTTTTTGAGTTGAAAGAGTCAAAAAATTACAATTTGCAAAATATCAGTTTTTTTTTTAAATAGCCACACATTTTTTTTGCCAACAATGAATGGTATTCACATGGATAAATATGGAACCAAAGAGCTGCAGTTTCACATCCAAAATGCTGCATGTGGCTTGCAATCCACCAGTTTGCCGACCCCTGTTCTATTGGGATGTCACATCAATCCAAAAGAGGTAGTTTAGATTAAGAGTTCTGCCAGGGCCCAAATTATTGTGACAAATATATGAGACTAGCCGAATGGCCCAGGTTTTACCCGATTAAATGCTTTTATTCAAATACTATTCGTTACAATTATAAATTGGCGCCGTGGATGCTATTCTTGTATAATATATAAATGAGTTTTTAAAATTGTAAAAAAAAAAATGCATTGGCCGGGAATCGAACCCTGGCCGCCCGCGTGGCAGGCGAGCATTCTACCACTGAACCACCGATGGTTATGAGAAATGGCCATATTTGGGTATTTATTCCATTCACAAAAGCAAACGGTGACAGAATTGATTAAGAAAGAATTGATTATGACGCTGATAACTGTATATTTTAATAATATAAGTAATTGTGGATGATATTTGATGATGTACTTTTACATGTATTAAAGGAAAGAAGGGAATTCTAAAATAAATTGGTTCTAGAGATTTTATATTGTGCTCTCGACTTCGTCAACTTTACTGTCCAGGTTGCAGATGTTCAGCATTTCTGTCATCAACAGTTTAGTGGAAAATCTCCCAGAATAAAAAAAAAAAAGAACTAATCCAAATAATTTATTAGTGTGTGACGTTTGGGCAACAACATTGTCGCACATGACTGGTACAGAGCAGGAGGGACAAGCACCAGTTCTGTCCTCCCAAGAGAACCACAGTCTTTGATTTCCAGACTTAAGTCTGTTCATCTACGGACAATGACTTTCCAGAATGGTTGCAGGGTTTTCCCACTATGTACTAAGTGCAATTCTCAGCCTGCAACCCCAAGAAATATTATTGACTGTATTGACTCATCCATTGATGAGCTCTACTCTTCCCTGGCAGACACCATCAAAAATCTCAAGCTTTACAAGCTTGATACCTTAGTGTGATTGAGTGGAGATAAGAAAGAAGAAGATATATATAACAAGGCACCTCAGTTGGCTGGTATTATGATCAGGGTGCACGGACCGATCTGATCTGATTCATGGACAGCATCATCACTCATTTATATGTATTCAACCAAAGTTGAATTTCTTTTTTAATTTCCAAAAAAAAAAATTAAAATATTATATATACGTGGCATAAAAGAGAGAAATATTTATATATTACATATTAAAGTGCATATTGTATTGCATATAGTGTCAAAATTTTTAACAATAAAAGTTCACAATTCGATAAAAATAATCCCTTGAATCAATATTAAAATAAAAACATAAATCCTCCAGGGAAAAGATTCTTTTCCCTGGAGGATTTATGTTTTTATTTTAACAATAAAAGTGTTTAAATTATTTCTAAAAATATTTAATTAAAATAATATATTTATAAATTGCCATCTATTAATAAAATTTGTAACATTTCTTTTTTTTTTGGCAATTTGTTTGCCTTACATATGCAGTCCAAACGGGGCTCTGGCACATTTGTAAGTGCAAAGTCGAACTGCTTTCACATGTGTAGACATGTGGTGCGCTTACTGTAAAAAGCAGTCGCTAACTACCCACCATTTTTATCATGGCCTGCACCACGTGTACTAGGGATAACCAAAAAAAAAAAAAACATAATGCAGTAAAACTGTGAAAGGACACTCCCGATAGAGGACGCCTCTCTATAAAGGACAGTTTCATTGACCAAATTACCATTTTTACTATTTAACAACTCTCTGGTAAGAGGACACCTCTCTCTAAAAGACACTTTGTTTCTGCAACTAGGTAACCTTTACAGGGAGGTTTTACTGTATCATCAAATATTATCTCTACAGACCTTATGGCAATGGTAAAAGATGCTGAATGAGAGAGCTTGGCTCATCAATAGTGAACCCTCTCAGGGGTTTTGCCAAATTAATAGTTTGCAGATGGGGGTCGGTGGAAGGATGGTCTAAACCGTTGGTTGTTGACCGCTACAACCCAGGTTCAATTCCCGCATTGGGCACTTTTTTCTTATTAAAAAAAAAAATGCTCCAATGGCCCCCGATTATTGCAAAAGTCCAACCCCACCAGCGAGTGCAAGTAACCAAAAGGGCCTATGGCACATTTGTAAGTGCAAAGTCGAACTGCTTTTCACATGTGTAGACATGTGGGGCATTTACAGTAAAAACAGTCGCCTACTTTTACCCACCATGATTATCATGGCCTGTACCGCCTGTAGTAGGGATAAGCAAAAAAATATATACAGTAAAACCCCGCTAATACGAACCCTGGATATAGCGAACCTTCCCTTATAACGAACCCACGCCGATTCCCAATTCCATTCCATTGAAAATACCATCGTTATAACGAACTTTGCGATTTTTAGAATAACGAACTACCCCTATAACGAACCTATTTTCGGTCCCAAAATAATAAAATATATTTAAAATACTATGCTTATAACGAACTTAGAATTGTAATTTAAAAAAAAATTAAAACAACCAAATTTTGAGCATGTTTCAGCTCGCGGATCGCGATTTCAAAACAATAAATTTAGCGGCATTGTTTGTTTTGAATTTTGCACTTTATTTTGCTGTATGTTGTATAAATTTTAACACATTATACTTTTTATTAAATAGAATATATTTTCATCCATTAAATTTGAAATATAAAAATACAAATGGCTTCCAAAATGAAGAAAACAAAGGCATTTTAAAAACAAGAGCGTTATTTCTTTAAAAAAAAAGGCCATTTTCAGAACTTTTCAAAGTGAAACAACACAGGCAAAATGTTAAGAACAAATTAAAATAAGAGAATATAACTTTTCTATTATCAAAGATAAAATATAAAGCTATTAAAAATTGCTACAAAGAGGAATCAGCCTCAACTTTTGCCGCGAAAGCGATCGTACGTTTTAGGGCTAAAAAAAAAATCCAAATAAATGGTCCCGTGATCAAACAAAAACTATTTTTATGCCATTAACTATGGTGATTTTAAAGTCAGCAATGTTTTGCATGACAGGTTTAAAAAAAAACCGAAATCTAGACATAGAAGAATATGTGGGAAAATGAAATGGAAGAAAAACACCAACTTTATTTGAATGGTGCAATGCTTGAAGAATGCTTTGAAGCAACAAGGTGTTAGAGCCATTTTTACAAGTAAACAATGTATTATATAATGTGATAATGATGTTTTAAAATCATTTTATATCTTTGAATATATATTTAATAAAACTTTGCCTAGGATTTGTCTTGATTTTTAAATTAGACATAGAGGTACATGTATGTTAATGATAAGAAGAACCTATCATCTAATGATTTCTATTATTATTCAGTATTTTAATGTAAGGAAATTGGTCAATTAACGGAATTAAAACAAAGTGACCACTATTAAGAGGAAGCCTCTTCCAGTGTGTATGGCTGTCCTTTAATTATACGGTCTAAAAATTTTGAAAAGTAAAAAAAATGGCCAAACCGTGGCTATAGTGAACCGTGGCTATAGTGAACCAAAAGCTCTGTCCCATTGGGGTTCACTATAGAGGGGTTTTACTGTATAGTTTTCAGGACTTTAGTGGCCTGGCACTTATCAGATATGATCTAATGACTGAAGACTAAGATGTTAAACCAAAGTTTACTTTTGAATACTTCCATCTAAATTTATGGCTTCCTTTCTTTTTATTGGATCATTTTGTATGAATGTATCCTTTCTTTGTTAAATGTGTGCTTATTTTTAAAGAATAAATTAAGAGATAGAAATGTTTTTAAACACTATTTTTTTTAATTTAAACACTTTTTTTTTTGCTTATCATTAGTTCACATGGTAAGGGACATGATAATCATGGTGGGTAGAAGTAGGTGACTGCTTTTATTGTAAGTGCACCACATGTCTAAACATGTGAAAAGCAGAATTTAAACATTAACATTTCTAAACATGTGAAAAGCAGAATTTAAACATTAACATTTCTAAACATGTGAAAAGCAGAATTTAAACATTAACATGTCTACACATGTGAAAAGCAGAATTTAAACACTTACATGTCTACACATGTGAAAAGCAGAATTTAAACACTAACATGTCTACACATGTGAAAAGCAGAATTTAAACACTAACATGTCTACACATGTGAAAAGCAGAATTTAAACACTAACATGTCTACACATGTGAAAAGCAGAATTTAAACACTAAAATAAATAAGTGAATTATAAAGTGCCGTGTTACAACATTGCTATAGTCATATGTAAACAAAAACTAACATTGTATAATATATTGGCTTGTCCAGTGTATGACTGGGTAGTTTTGTTAATGGAGAAAATACTCCAGGGACAGTTATACCTGGTAATTACTCCCAGGCCACAGCAATTTGGATCCTCTTCTTCTTTTAACTCTATAACATAGCGTGGCATCATTGGCTGTCACTTTTAGTAGTTCACAGACTCTCTGGCTCCTAAACCTTGCATTATTGGTAGCTTTAGTGATACAGTAGAACCTCCCTTTAGCGGACACCCCGCTAGCAGACACCTCTCTACAAAGGACAGTTTTCATTTGCAAAATTACCATTTTTACAATTTAACAACTCTCCGGTAAGAGGACACCTCTCCATAAAGGACACTTTAGCTCTGCAATTAGGGGATCCTTTACAGGGAGGTTCTACTGTACTTTCTTGTTTCCACATCTAAGTTTGTCACAAGAGTTCCTCAGGTATCAACATTTATTAACACAAAACCTACGATATGCTGGAAAGTTGAAATCATTCCCCCAAAATGGAGTCTCACTTGAGAGCACCACATGTTGTAGGTTATATCTGTGCTGGTGTCATCACTGGAGAAAGGACTTAGTTGCTCACTTTCTCTCTCTCTCTCACTATCAATGATACAGAGGTATCAGCAGTTTTTTTTTCTGCTTATTCCTAATAAAAATATAATAATAATAAAAATTCCTAATCATGGTGGGTTGAAGTAGGTGACTGCTTTTACTGTATTCGACTTTTGCACTTACAAATGTGCCTGAACACCGTTTGGTTACTTGCACTCGCTGGTGGTGTTGGACTTTTGCAAGAATCGGAGGCCATTGGATCAATTTGTATCAGCAGTAGCCAGTGTTGTTGAGTTTTAGCAAGTGAAGAAGCCTGGTGAGTGAAATCAAAGGTTGACAGTAACTGGATTAATCAATTGGAGAGCATTTCTTTGAATATGTAGAGTTTTAAGAGGCATAAAGTCCAAATTGACTTGCACTAAACTGAGGATCCTTTGTTAATCAAGATGTCACTTAACTGATCTCATAAACTTCCACTTCTCATCTGGAATCTAGATAGTTAGGTTTTATCTCACAAAATGCTGGATCAAATTCAGCATT